CACCTGTGGTAGTTAAGGTTGTGTTAACTTGGCTGGGCAGCTGGTGGTAGTTATTTCCCATGACGAGACTGGCAATCAACTCCATGGTAGGATCTACCACAAGCAGCTGAGTAGCTGCTTTAGGGATGTGGTATGCTTCCTGTAGTTAAGAAGCGGCTCTGGGAATGGTTTCCAGCTTTTTAGCACACTTGAACCTGCATGTAGCCAAGTTGTTGTTCAGTAGCCTGCCATGTGCTGCTGATCCTGGGAATTTTAATGGACTTGAATCAATGGCCTGCCATGTTGTTTGGTAACATTCGGACTGTGCTTTTTTATTTGTCAACCTGGGGTTTGTCAGCCTCAGCAGCCAGCAGCTGCCTTGAGTGAAGAAAAGCCTCCAGCTTCAGTGGGCAGGAGGCAGAGCTGAAGCCCAAGTATGAGGGGCTTTCACTCAGCTCCTGCATCCTGGCACTTTGGACTTGGACTTAAAGCCTCCAAACTGTAAGAGAATAAACTCCTGTTTGTTAAAGCCATCCCATTTGTGGTATATTCCTGTCAGAACAGCACTAGGTAGTCAAAACACCACCAGAGCATCTTTTTTATATAAGGTCACACAGTATTTGTCCTTTTGTGATTGACTCATTTCACGCAGCATAATGTCTGCAGCCTCCATCCATATTGTAACATGCATCAAGACTTCATTTCTCTTGTTATTATTCATTGTACCTATGTATCACATTTTGTGTATCCATTGACAAGCCTTTGGGATGTGGTCTGCTTCCTGTATATAAGGAGAAACCTTGGGGATGGTCTCTAGCTTATGGCATGCTTGGACCCTGCATGTAGCCAAAGTCATCGTTCAGCAGCCTGCCATGCTCTGCTGACCTTGGGACTTACAATGGACTTGAACTAATGGCCTGCTGTGTGGTTTGGTAACATCAGGGCTGTGCCATGTTATTTGCTAACCTTGGGCTTGTTAGCCTCAGCAGCCAGTAGCTGCCTGAGTGAAGACATGCCTCTAGCTTCAGTGGGCTGAGAACAAGAGGCAGAGCTGAAGCCCAAGGTCAAGGGGCTTTCACCCAGCCCCTAGAACCTGGCACTTTGAACTTGGACTTGAAGCCTCCAAATTGTAAGAATAAACTCCTGTTAAGGCCATCCCATTTGTGGTATATTCTTGTCAGAGCAGCACTACGTAATCAGAACAGGTTGTTTTCACCTTTTAGCTATTATGAACACTCGTGTACAAGTGTCTGTTTGATTCTCTGCTTTCAAGTCTTTGGGGTATATACCTAGGAGTGGGATTGATGGGTCACTGGGTAGTTCTATTTTTAGTTTTTTTTTTTTAATTTTTATTGTGATTTGGATGAAAGTTTAGAGCAAATTCATTTTCCATATAGCAGTTCACATACACTTTGTCTCACGACATTGACTGCAATTTCCCACAATGCAAAAAATTTCTTCCCACTTCCTTTCCATAGTTCCCTCTTCCCTGTGTCCTTCTCTCTCATGCACTCCTGCCCCCCAAGCTGTCTCCCTGTGTATACACAGCCCTTCTATTCACCCATGTTTGAACTCTCCAAGGAGTCTATCTACCTAATGTAAATGTTCAGCTTATATGCCTGTCTTTTGTTTGGCTAGAAGCCACAGGAGTGGGTTCAATTCCAGACCTGAAGGGCAGCTAGGGGCAATGGTCTCAGGGGTTCCACCAGGCTCTATCAGACCAGCAAACCTGGTCCACCTTTTTTTTTTTTTTTTTTTGAGTTTTGTTCTACATTATTCTCCCACTCGATCATCCAGGATCTCCTACATAGATGCCCCTCTCTGAGTGGTTAACAGTGGGAACTGAGCACCACCTAGTTCTTCTGGTCTCATAGTCATATAGGCTGAGGAATGCATGGTGTACCAGTTGCTTTATGTCCCCTGTGACCATGGTCCCAAGCCCATAGGACCAACTACTTGCTCCCTCCAGGTAGCCGGCTGTGGCTAAGAAGTGACTACAACCTTGTCCCTTCTCAGCTCTATTATATAGCTAGAAATTCTTACAGAACATACAAATACACTTGTAGAAACACTGTTTCCAATCCTACACATGGTCACGGGCACCCTGTCCCCCGCATAGACATATCTGATTGTTCAGCCTCTCCACCCATCTATCCACCCATAGATCAATGTTTGCCATCACTGACAACACACTACTGTATGTGCAAAAGGGTTCATCTTTGTTGTCTGTACCTCCCATGCACCTCTCTCTGTCTTCTTCTTCCTCAATGCCACTGTGTCGATCACTCACATTTATTTTTAGTTTTTTGAGGAACTGCTACAGTTTTCCACAACAGATATACCATTCTGTATTCCCACCAGCAGTGGATTAAAAAAAAACCAAAAAACCAAACAAAACAAAAACCACCAAACTCACTGCCATTGAGTTGATTCCAACTCATAATGCCCCACCCCTTGGATTTCCAAGGGGGTAAATCTTTATGGAAGTAGATTGCCCAATCTTCCTTCCATGGAGTGACTGATGGGTTTGAACAGCCAACATTCTGGTTAGCAGTCAAATGTCTTAGGCACTACACCACCAGCAGTGGATAAGGGTTCCAATTTTCCCACATCCTTGCCAACATTTGTTAGTTTCTGTTTTCTCTTAGCCATTTTAGTGGGAGTGAAATGGTGTATTACTGTGGTTTTGATTTGTATCTCCTTGATGGCTAATGACACTGAACATCTTTTCATGTGTTTGTTGGCCATCTGAATGTCCTCTTTTGTGACATATCTATTCAAGTCCTTCGCCCATTTTACGAGTGGGTTGTCTTTTTGTTGTTAAGTTGCTGACCTTTTATATACATTTTGCTTATTAGATTATCAGATATATGGTTTTGATTGCTGTAGTTATATAATGTTCTGAAGTCCAGAGGTGTGATTTCCTTATTTTGTTTTTCTCTTTCAACATTGCTTTAGTTATTCAGGGCCTTTTGCCATTCTATAAAAGTTGGGCATTGGTTTTTCCCATACGGTTTTCATTGGCTGATTTTTGGAAGCATATTGCCAGAGTTTTCTACCTAGTCTGTCTTATTTTAGAAGTTCCACTGAAACCTGTTCAACATCCAGACAGATGATGGTAGCTGCACTTGAGGTGTACTGGCTAGGAATCGAATGTGGGTCTCCTGTATGGAAGGTAAAAACTGTACCACTATACTACCACTGGCCCCTGGCACAGAACAGATATCACTAAATCCTTGTTGAATGAATCAATCAAAGTATAGACACCCATGTCCTGACTAAAACATGGAAATCGCCTTGTTACATATATGTATTACTAAGGAGTATATTTCTATGTTTACAGATTGTATTTTCAGGGCAGAAACTCCTCTGAGACTAGGTTAAGTACTTCAAGACTGACTGTCTCTCAGCCTATTTTCAGGTCAGGGCTTGGAGCTCACTAGTGGAGGAGCTATTGACCTAGACCCTTTCTTTCTTTTTTTTTTTTTTTTT